TTGCATTTTTTAGTCACATGATATAAATTTTTGTTTGAGAAGACACATTTCCATTCCGACCGCTCTGTCGGTTCAGTTCATTTTTTTCACTTCTCTTCATGTGGAAATACCACACGCTTTTTGATGATTATAGGGGTTGTGTTGTACTGAGGTTGCCACTTGGTCGCACCTAAGTTGCACGGGATCTGCACATCCGACGCAACGCTTGTATCACGGTGCTTGCTCGGCTTGCATGCATGGATTGCATTACATGTCGTTTTGTGTTGTTCATGTTTGTTATTCGTGTGTCAAGAACATGAACGCATCAATAAATTTTCCATGCCCAATAAACCTGATTCAAATAGTAGTAGACTAGTGTTAATGAAATGCATAGTCGAAACAAGAAAGAAAAGGTGCACAACTTGTTTCCCAGTAAAGAAGCATGAATTCATAGCAGATCGAAAATCGAAAATCCAGAGAAAAAAAACAATACCAACTATCTACACCTTCAATCGTCACCAAAAAAACCACTAAGACCCCTACACTCCCCCATGTCCAGCACACATCCGCCTTCAGCCTCTCCTTCACCTTCTCCCCTTTGCACTCTCCCCACACCATCGCTCATCCATCATGTGAAAACCTAAAGCACTACCCACAGCGTCAGCAAAAAATCTACGCAAACTCAAGCTCAGCATTCGGGCTTCCAATACCAATCGAATCACCCGCCGTCGCCGCACCCGCTGCATTCGCAACCTTGCACTCCCTCCATGCAACATGCAACTGATGCGTAAACGCGACGGTCGCATCGTCATTACTCATTTCACCCGCGGCATTCGCATTCTTACTCGTAAGCGCAATACGGTTATTAACATTCAGTATCCCATTTGCGCCGCACGGGCTCCAAATCGTCGCCGTCGTCTCCACGCTATCTTGTTTGGTGTAGACGAGGCCGTTGGCGAAGGCACCGCCGCCCGAGACGGACATGCGCGTTGTTTGCGTTTTGCCGGCGTCCTCGCTGAAGTAGTAGGTCGTGATGAAGGTGCCGTTTACGCCGTCGTCGAGGCGCGCCCACCCGTGGTAGGTGGCGTCGACCACGGCGTATTGGAATCCGCCTGGGTAGCGGAGGTTTAGGTGGATTTGGCAGTTTTTGGAGCGGTCCGAGGGGACGGTGCCCGGGCCGATGTAGGCTTGGAATTTGTCGAAGCCGTAGGTTATGACCTTTTTTGGGAGAGAAGAAGGGGGTTGTGTTAGTTTTTTTTGGAGGTTGGGTTGGGGAAGGATGGGGGGGATAGAAAGGTGCAGTATGGTGAGATGGAACAGAATACGTGTTAAAAGCTTACAGTCTTGTCGGCCGACTTGCTCGTAGAGACGGAGCCCTGGGGACATCCATTGCCAGAGTAGGTAGTATCCGAGATGGTAATATCATTGGGGTTGGGTCCATCAGCCCGCTTCACTGGCGTCGCAGTGGCGAGCAGAGGAAGGAGGAAAGCAGCGATTTTGGAGTGCATGGTTGCAAAAAGAAGTTTATACAAGTGAATGGGGGTGGTGAGCTGTAGGGCTTGGAAGTGTTTCGAGAAGAAGTGAAGGACTGGATTGGAATCTGATCTTGCAATGATTCTCAACACAAATAAGGGAAAACTACCTCCTCTTTATACTCTCTCCTCTCTCTCTCCGTCTCTGCATCAAATGATACACCAGTATATATTATCCCGCGGCTTCAGATTCCCACCCTGCTTGTTGTCAGGCACCCTATCCCTTCTCTCTCTCCCGCTTCCCGCCTTTCGACATCACGAGCTGTCAGTCAATATGGATGACTAGAGGTCAAGTGTCGGTTTCTGGGGCGGGGCCCGGGTTCAGTTTCCAATTTTAGGTTCAATTCAAGTGGCATCTGTATTAAGTACTAACCATGTCTTAATCCTCTGCCAAGGTTTAACAAGATGTCTTTTAGATTGAGTGCTCGATGTCGCTGGTAGTCGTGACTGGAGTGGGTATTATATCCACATACGAGCTTCATGACTAAGAGTAACGTAGCTGGAGTTGCAAAAATCAGACATTGACATCGATTTACATCATGATTGGCAGTGCTTTTTTCTTCTTCTTCTTTTTTAGTAGCAGTGCAAATGAGACTGGTAATTGTGTGGATGAGGTACATCTGGTGGGGAAATCTGCAGCAGGACCATTGTCTGGTAGGTGGCGTCCTGCAGCGAGACCCTGGAAAAAAACGCGGGAGTGAAGCATTATAGTAAAGATACGAAAAGCTTCAATCGCAGGTAGATTGATTACATGTCTCCAGCGAGGCTCTGGACCTGCATCATAGTGCTGTCCCGCTTTCTACAGCGCTTAAGAATAAACCTCGGCCGTGTCACGGTAATATACACGGTTGGCAAGGGTAGGGGAGTACCGAAAAAAAGATTCAGGTCTAGGTCAGGTGATGTGTCCGGGTGCGGTTGTAAAGGTATCGAACCAGGCGGGAAGCGGACAATAGAAACAAATGCTGCAGGGCTTGGCTGCACGGCCTACTACAAAAAGGAAAACACCTGTCCCGTACTCCGAGTGGTACTGGAATATTTGTGCTTACAGAACACGGTCTCGAATAGCGCGCGGTAATATCGAGGCAATATGGAACGTCTCGCTTAATTGGGTAAATACCGCCATCTTACCAAAACCCCATGGTTCGACATCTTGTCTCCCCCGATTCAATCTGTGAGGTTTAACCGGGATGTCTGGCGTCAACCGTTTGTGCTTATTTTTTTGTCCCCACCACCCTTGCACATTGTTTCCCCACTTAAACTTCCCATATTCAATCTGTTGTCTGGAGAAAACTCCCTGGTCAACGACTTTTCGGTCCCCTTTCCAATTTCCCCCGCAATATGAAGCTACATTAATCGAACCATTGTTTGCGATTCGTTCTCGACTCAGCCCTCAGCTTCTCGGCCATGGTTGTTCGTCTCCGGGTAATTCGAGATACGAAGTCTATACAGTTTCACGTTGCAACCGCGCTATACGACCGGATGATCTTGAGTAAGAGATATAACGTAACAGTCGGTCAACGGATGATACTTTGTGCGGTTGGAGCAAATATGGAGCGAATTTTGGCGCAGCTGAACCAGAATTCAGATATTAAAGGCGATTTCCTGCCATGGCCGATGTGGCCGAGGCAATGGCAAAAGCATAGGTGTTATACGCAGTGGAGTCTAGAAGTAGCTCAAAGTACCAGGTGAGCGCCAAGGCAATATACTCATTTGTAGAAACCCGAACGATTCCTGTATGCGCATATGGAGACTCGTTGTCAAGAATATCAACAACGGCTGGCAATGAGACTGAGAATACACCGTGGCCTGTTGCACCGCAAACACCATGGCGCTCCAAAGCAACCATACTTGGAAGCGAGCGAGATCCCAAGTATGGACATATCGTCAGCCATTGCAAAAAACACATCAGAAGACACCCAGCCACACACTAGCGGAGAAGTGGGTGGAAAGGTATATATGCTTTCCCCTCCATCCATAGCTGAGCATTACTAGAATCGCATACGTAGCCTCATGGCGCTCAGCCAGAAGGTTTCTACGGGTACAACGGCACGTCGCAAGCAAGTGTGAGCTATAAAAAGATCCCAAGAGCGAAATAGAGCTTGCGCCGCTCCCCTCACGTTACGGGTAGTACTAGTACGGGCGAGTGCCTTCGAACAGACGTGTACCGAATAGTGCGCGAAAAAGATGACAGACCCAGTCACCTGGCGCGTACTGGCCATGCTCCGCGCGATGGTCGTATGGGCGGACTGATGTTGGGGTCGATAGGAAGATATCAATGACACTATGCTGACAACAACGGCGTCGACGACGGCGCCAAGGGTACCGGAGGTGGAGTTTAGTCGCTAAAGGTCCAGCGTACACACGACCGAACTCTGATCTTCTTCGGCTGGCTTGGTGATGTAGATGTAAAGTAGAACAGCGCTTGAAGACCACACAGGTAGCCACATAGGTAAAGCCGCGAATACCACAACGCGCGCCGCCCCCCTTTGCAAGCCAAGTGGTACTCCAAAAAAGTCTCCTAGTGGAGAGAGAGGCCGTCCATGCGTCATCTGAGCGCTCTCCACACGTGGAATCGCGATCTGGGACGGGAGAGATGCAGGGGGCCCAGAACAACCGGGGGGGGGGTCGGAGGTTCGGGGGTTCGGGCGCAAGTGGACATGGACAAGATTTGAAATCAGTTCCGGTGATACGCTGTCTCTAGGCGTGTGGTTTGACGAGGCTGAGCCAAATATGTCTTGCATGTACGTTGGAGAGACGAAAAAAGTCTTGGTCAAGGGGATTGGGGGGGGGGGCCTAGGCGGATCTCGGCCGGTCGGACGAGTACTCGCCTACTGACGTGACTTGGAACAGGAAGAAAAAAAATCCCTTACAGCACTTTACTCCTGAAGCTATTCCGTATTGTGCTTTTCGTATTTCTGGTCATGAACCGCTGGTTTGGGTAAGGTGCACTACTACTTCGGTCTCGGACTTTCTTGCGAGTTTTTTTGCAGTAGTTGTTGGTTCGAGTTTTGGATACCTCTTCCATAAGGTGATGCCAAGGTGATGCCACGGCGCGAACGAATAGTTCATACACATAGTAGCATTTCGAGTGAGTGTGGGTGTGAACTTTGACTGTGCAAGATGGTAGTGCATATGGGATATTTGGAAGTGTGGCTGGCGCGTAGATGTATACTGACATGCAGCCACGAGCCACAGAGAGCATAGGCGAGGAAGAGACTCATAGACAATAAAGCATGGACAGGCGGATGACTGTTAGCCGAAGAGGACGACAAGAGGGAAGCCGTTGTCATTGTTGTGGTGATGGTGATAAAGGGGTCATGAGGCTGAAGCATGCCATGTGGGGCTAGCGCCGCCTAGTGGGATCGACCGAGCCGTTAGCGTCCGACTTACGAGAGACCCAACTGACCCACTGATGATTTTCTCGCCGCCCCTTTGGGACAGACCTTGACCGACGATGGTGAAAAGACCGCTCACCGGTGGCCCTTGTGAATGCACGATGATGCTTTGATCCAGGACGTTGTGCGGCTGATCTGCCGCATCATCCGTAGGACTGGACTCCAATCGAGAAGAGTAGCTCTTACATGGCACCCGAATCCGAGGTACGACTCGGCACTCAACATCGGCTCGGCAATGCCAATTACCCACAAGAGCACCGGATCTGGAAGAGAACCATGGTACACGCTGACGTCCATGCATGACTTTGCTAACGCCCCGTTAGGGACGTTGTTCGGAGTGCCTCGGATGCTCAGGATTTGCTGCGACTAGAATTAGCGAAGGGCCAGCCTGCTCTACTCTTTACACGGACACTGTCTTGGTAGTTCTTCGCTCCAGCCACTTCGCTTTCGCTCCGGTTTCCTGCATTGCCACAGTTGGACAAACAGTCTAGTGTTTAGCAGCGAGGCCGCCCTACCATGTGATGGAAAAAGGTTCAAGTTCACTATTCCTTCCCGTCACATCCAGGTGTAAATCGCGGCTCGGCGTCGCAGGGTCCTTCGGCTTTGCCGTACATCATCGCCCAGTATGAGGCTTGGGCAAAGTAGACATTGTGGGGAATGAAACGCTCCGCTTCCTTCGCCCGTATTGTACCGTATTTTGCACATCACTGTGGCCATGCTCTTGCGACATTGTCTTTGGCGAGGTGGGGATAGGCGAGTGAGAAGAAGGCTGGCCCAGGCCAGTCTAAAAGGCTTATCATTGCTCAAACGTTAGTGCGAACGCTGTATCCGTAAAGGGCTGGTCGAGCACCCGTCGTAGGCAAGCACATGTTTGTACCCCTGGAGGAGACTATCGAAGTAGTAAACAGCGGGCTGTAAGCTAGTCCTTCTGGGCTAAGCTGCACTCCCAAAAAAGCCAGCCCGACGGTCAAAAATAGCTAGCTCTTTCGCTCAATGACTCGATTGGTCCACGTCGCGAGGGAATCAGGAGAAACACCTCTGTAAACACCAGGGATGACAGCAGGCGGTGGTGGGGAACCAGGTTGTTTTGCGATGCAGTACTAGGGTTATTGGCTCTGACAATTTTCTTATCGCGCGCCTCTTTCCAGGCTCCCTGTCAACGCCCATGAGGTCTCCTTTTCCTTCGAAACTAGAAAAGTGTACGAACCAATTGCTAGTATACGGCGGAGAATAACCTAAATAATGATGTCCATAGCTTCTGATTGGTGATAATGCTTCGATACCTGCAGGTGCCTGAAAAACGACCGGCGACTACAGGCATGACAATTCATCCGGGGCTAAGATAAGGTTTAGTGGACTAGTGCCCTCAGGTACAGCCGCCAAATCCTGCCACTAGAAGAACCGAGCTAACCGACCATGCTTGTGGCGCTTCCCATGACATCGACCTCGAATCAGTCAGTAGTTGAGAAGCGAGACGAGAGCACTGAGCGAAGCCCTTGTTGTATATAAGAACGTCTGCCACACGGCACAACATCTCATCATCAGCACCGGTCTTCACCACCTTCCAATCGCTTCTACCCTTTTGATACTCTCGCTACAACTGTTCTACACGCTCACTCACTATGCGTTCTTACCACCTTCTTGTGGCGACCGCCGCCCTTGTAGCGGCCTCGCCTGCTCCTCAAAACTTCAACGAGCCTAACAACGTCGTCAACGATGTTGCCCAGGGCCCCAAGATGGGTGTTGTTTCCGAGGTCGGCACATACAACCAGGATAAGGCTCTCGCTGTCGCCGCTCAAGCCGGCTCCCAGCCTGCGGCTGCTCAAGCAGCCAAGAGGGATATTGAGGCTCGCTCCCCTACCTTCGGCTTGTGGAACTGGTTCAACTCGGGAACTGCCCAGACCTACAACAAGCCCCAGCCCCAGCAGTACGGCAGCAACCCACCACCTCCTCCTAACCCTGTTTACGGAGCAGGTGGTGCTCTTCCTACCCCTCCTCCTCCTGCTGGTGGCAACCAACCAAGTGGCCCTGCTCCCACCCAGCCTCCTACTCCTGGCAATGCTCTGCCTACTCCTGGAGAGTCATCGACCAACCTTGCTCCCTCTTCTTGCACCCCAGTCGACTGGGTCAACACCTGGGCCTTCACTGCTGACCCAGCCTGTGCTACTCAAATCGAGGTCGGCACCTACTGTGGGTTCATCAACCCTCTCGACCCTTGCGCTGCTCAGCCCAACGCCTATGGACCTCCCACCGTCCCCGACACCGTCGATGCTTTCAAGAACAACGCCGTTTACCACAAGATGGCCAACTCTGCCCAGACTCCTTCCGGCTGGGACAAGGCGTTCACCGACTTGAGTGCCTCCGTCTCCGGCAGCGGATACCTTGGATACTTCGAACTTACCAGCTACGACCCTCTTACCTGCGCCAAGAAGTGTGAGGCCACCGAGACCTGTACTGGCTTCAACGTCTTCGTCGAGCGTGACCCCAAGTGGAACCCTGAGCAGTGCTCTTGCAAGGAGGCTGACTCTGTCGCCCGCTTCAAGTGCACTCTCTGGGGTCAGGATGTTACCAAAGAGTCTGCCACCAACAACGGCCAGTACCAGGCCGGCTTCGAGGTCGTCATTGTCGCTTCCAACGGATACAACAAGAAGAACTATGTTCCCCCTCCTCCTCCTTCTTGCAGTAAGCCCCAATCTTGCGGTAAGCACCTGATCAACCAGCAGCCCTACTGCATCGGCCAGACCACCATCCCCGGACCTTTCGACCCTGCCCTCTGCGCCGCCTACGCCCAGAAGCAGAACGAGGCCAACAGGAAGAAGGGCTGGCTCGCTCAGTGGATGTCCTTCTTCGGCTTCAGCAAGAGTGGCTGCGTCCAGTTCCAGGCTGCCTACCTTGAGAAGAACGGTGTCGGCTTCGGTACCCACTGCCGTCTCTACACCAGGAAGTTCACTCCTGCCCAGGCCAACCTCGACATCAGCATCAACACCCAGAAGAAGTGGGGCTGCCAAAAGTCCTTCATCTTCGACCTTGATGTCAACGCCAACTTCAACTGGGGTCGCCGATAAATGCTGCCCAGCATTCAAAACAATCAGCAACGACTCATGTTCCCGACATGGTGAAGACGCATGAACCAGGAATCCTGATGGAATATGGTGGATGTTAATGAGTAGTTAATGTTTGGTCCCGGAGTTTTCAGCATTTGCTTTCCATGTATATACCAGCTTGACTTTACTTTGGGCCCTTGTCTGCCCGCCGCATAGTCGCTCCTTAAAATCGTTTATAGCACAGCTTGTAGTCGTAATGTATCAATAATTGCATTTGGCAAACCAAAAAAATCACCTCTCTCTTGCTTTTGTGAATGTGAGATCAAATTGCATGCATGCTCTGGGGTTGGAAAACAGAATGGCGGCCTTTGTGTGTCGCATTTGTGGAAGGAAGCGATTATGTCAGCAAGGTGATTGCGTCAGCGTCTGGATGGACGGAAGGCGGGGGGAAGAAGGCCGAGTGGCATTCCCAAAGAGAGCAGGAATCCAGAGTGTCGGGATGCGCGCCCCACAGCGCGTGATCGCATGGTACGGGCTTGTGGGAACGGTGCGTTCACCCCACTTCTGCACATACGGATCAGCGTGCTCCCAAATCTGAGCAAAGGTAGGCGGCGAGACTCTTAGGGCTGGACACGGCCCTTTTATCTGTTTTGGCGCTCTTGCAATGACAGTCGTCGATAGCGTAGGGTTACTGTGGTACGACATGAGGGGTACGATAAACCTGGGGTTAAAACGTGGGGTAAGTTGTCACGCATAGAGGGGGATTGTCCAAGTGCGGGGAAGCTCACACCCCGTCTCTCCTGATTCGATACAAGGTCAGATGGAGGCATGCGCGGAACGCGGCCCAAAGGTACCACCCCTTATGTACCTTCAAACTGGCTCGCAAACCGTGGCAACTTCAGTGCTCTCCTACACGGCGCTGCGGGAGTCTACAGCTACCAGCCTTGCCATTGTTTTCCAAATCAACTGCCAGCAGATGCGGGCACCGAGCTTCTTCTCTCTTTGCTCGCCTTCTTCCGAGACAGCATGAGGTCCTCAGCATCCTGTCTTGCCGGGTGCAGGACAGCCGCTTGTCCGCCGCGGGGCAGTGTGCTTGCTGCCTTGAAGCCGTCAGTTGCAAGATCAACGCCTGTGTTTCGACGTGACATCCGTTCCAAACACACTGGCATACAGTTTGGCACCACTGGTATACGGAGCCTCACCCGTCCGCTCCCGCTGTCCCTGCAGCAGCACGTCTCCCAGATCACTGCTATTGCGCGCTATGCATCCCATGCACCGGAGCCGCATGATGAGGAACTGCCCACGTCACCGCCTTTTACAGCAGGCCCCTATTCTAACTTGACCATTGGCGTGCCAAAAGAAAGTTTTCCTAACGAGAGGCGTGTGGCCATCACGCCACAGAATGTCAAGCTCCTCCTCAAGAAGGGCTTTTCCCGCGTTCTAGTCGAGCGGGGTGCGGGGCAAGAAGCCCAGTTCTTAGATGAGGCTTACGAGCAGGCTGGTGCCCAGACTGTGGACCGCCGAAGCGTCTTCTCCCAAAGCGACATCTTGCTCAAGGTGCGGGCGCTCAGCATCGAGGGCAAGGATGCTGAGGTCGATGCCATCCGAGAGGGTGCCACTGTCATCTCCATGCTCTACCCCGTGCAGAATAGGCCGACTGTCGAGCGCCTAGCTTCTCGAAAGGCCACTGCATTCGCAATGGACATGATTCCTCGCATCTCTCGAGCTCAAGTCTTTGACGCGCTAAGTTCCATGGCAAACATTGCTGGATACAAGGCTGTCTTGGAGGCTTCGAATCATTTTGGGCGCTTTCTCACTGGTCAAGTCACTGCTGCTGGAAAGATACCTCCTTGCAAGGTACTTGTTATTGGAGCTGGCGTTGCAGGTTTGAGTGCTATCGCTACTGTAAGTATCGTGTAAGCTTGAGGGAGAAGGCTACTAACCTGAAAAAACAGGCCCGCCGCATGGGCGCAATCGTCCGCGGTTTTGACACGCGCTCTGCAGCACGTGAGCAGGTCCAGTCTCTTGGTGCTGAATTCATCGAAGTCGACATCAAAGAGGATGGATCTGGTGCTGGCGGTTATGCCAAAGTCATGTCCAAGGAATTCATCGAAGCTGAAATGAAACTCTTTTACGAACAGTGTCGGGAAGTCGACATTGTTATTACCACTGCCCTCATTCCCGGAAAGCCTGCCCCTAAGCTCATCACAAAGGCAATGCTCGGTGCAATGAAGCCCGGTTCCGTCGTAGTCGACCTGGCTGCTGAAGCTGGCGGCAATTGTGAAGCCACGGTTCCCGGAGAGCTGGCCAAATATGAAGGAGTCAAGGTTATTGGTGGGTAAAGATACTTGCTGAAGATGTTCGATGCTGACTATATGCATAGGATACACTGATCTTCCATCCCGCTTGCCAACTCAGTCGTCTACTCTTTACTCGAACAACGTGACCAAATTCCTGCTTTCGCTGACCCCAAAGGATAAAAAGGAGAAGTACTATGACGTTGATCTCACTGATGAAGTCACTCGTGGAGCCATTGTCACCTACAACGGTCAAATCCTGCCCCCAGCGCCACGTCCTGCTCCTCCACCGGCTCAGGCCAAGCCTGCCCCATCACCCGCTGACCAAGTCGCCAATACTGTTGCTTTGACGCCGTGGCAGACTCAGACTAGACAGGTAGCAACTGTGACAGCTGGTATGACCAGCGCGCTTGCCCTCGGAAAACTCACCGGCCCACTGTTCATGTCCAATGCTTTCACGTTCGCTCTGGCCAGTCTTATCGGTTATCGCGTTGTATGGGGAGTGGCACCAGCATTGGTAAGCGATCCTTGCACAAAAGGCGTGTGAAAGACAGAACACTGATATTTTCAACTTCCACTTAGCACTCTCCACTGATGAGCGTCACGAATGCGATCTCTGGAATGGTAGGTGTAGGAGGTCTGTTCGTCATGGGTGGCGGCTACTTCCCGGAAACAATTCCACAAACGCTCGGAGCTTTGTCGGTGCTACTTGCATTTGTTAATGTCTCAGGCGGTTTTGTCATCTCCAAGAGGATGCTAGATATGTTCAGGCGCCCCACGGACCCCAAAGAATATCCCTGGTTATATGCTATCCCGGCAGCCTTGTTCGGCGGAGGCTACATTGCGGCAGCCTCGACTGGTATGGCTGGTCTTGTGCAAGCAGGCTACCTTGTCAGTAGCCTTTTGTGCATGACCTCATTGTCAGGGCTTGCATCGCAAACGACAGCTCGCCGGGGGAACATTCTGGGTATACTTGGTGTCTTCTCTGGTATCCTTGCTTCGCTAGCGGCCGTTGGCTTTACACCCGATGTGCTCACACAGTTCGCTGGATTGGCTACGGTGGGAACCATTGCTGGTCTCGTAATTGGACGGCGGATTACTCCGACATCTCTTCCCCAAACAGTGGCAGCGCTACACTCTGTCGTTGGTCTTGCTGCAGTCCTGACTAGTATCGGCAGTGTTCTTGGGCACACTGGTGACATTTCGACCCTCCATATGGTTTCGGCATACCTCGGTGTTCTCATTGGTGGAGTCACATTCACTGGGTCGATTGTAGCCTTTTTGAAGCTGGCCGCAAAGATGAGCTCGAGGCCACTGGCACTGCCCGGACGTCATCTCATCAACAGCTCGCTGTTGGGTGCCAATTTTGCGACCATGGGTGCGTTTTTGGCGTACGCACCAGGCGCGCCTATGATAGGTGCGGCATGTCTTGTGGGCAATGCCGTCCTATCTTTCATCAAAGGTTACACAACAACGGCTGCCATCGGCGGGGCGGACATGCCTGTGGTCATCACTGTGTTGAATGCGTATTCCGGGTTCGCTCTCGTCGCCGAAGGATTCATGCTAGACAACTCGCTGCTAACGACTATTGGCGCTCTGATCGGAGTCTCCGGTTCTATTCTCTCGTACATCATGTGTGTGGCCATGAACAGGTCCCTCACAAACGTCTTGTTTGGTGGTATAGCGCCAACAGCGCAGTCTCAATCCAAGGTTGAAGGGGAGATAACCAAGACGACGGCCGACGAGACAGCCGAAGCCCTTGTCAACGCAGAGAACGTCATCATTGTAGTAGGATACGGAATGGCGGTGGCCAAAGCGCAATATGGGCTTGCTGAGTTTGTGAGTATGCTACGTGCAAAGGGAGTCAATGTGCGCTTTGCTATCCATCCGGTCGCGGGTCGGATGCCTGGCCAATGCAACGTTCTGCTAGCTGAGGCCAGCGTGCCGTACGATATTGTGCTTGAGATGGATGAGATCAACGACGACTTTGCAGACACGGATGTCACGCTCGTGATTGGTGCAAACGACACGGTCAACCCGATTGCGCTGGAGCCCGGTAGCGCAATTGCAGGCATGCCGGTTCTGCACGCGTGGAAGAGTAAGCAGGTGGTCATTATGAAGCGCGGTATGGCCAGTGGATATGCCGATGTGCCGAATCCAATGTTCTTCATGGAGAATACGAAGATGTTGTTTGGCGACGCCAACGACAGCTGCAATGGTAAGTCAAGCTGCAAACTTTGGGTATGAGACTTGTGCTAACGGCGGGTCAGCTATTAAGCGCGCACTTGAAGAGAAGATCAAGGGGTTGTGAGTCTGTATATATGTAGATGGGGAACGTCGGGTGGACTGCGAGTGTTTTGGGTATTAGTTGTTGGTGAATGTTTGAAGTGTTTGCACATTTTGCATAATCAATGGCGAAGCGCCAGCCACATAATCGCTGGCTGGGCACATGTGAGACGACGTGATGGCGCACAACCAATGCCCCTTGTCGTAACGGCGACAAACAATCTTGTGGTAATTAATCGTCGCTGCCATGGGTTTCCAGTGCGCGAAGGAAGTGGACTCGGGTTGTCGCAGCGACCCTTGATCCTGGTCGTGGGCGGGAGCCGTGTTCCCGTGACTTGTGATAGTTTCAGCAAGTATACATAAGTAAGTATGTGAGATGACTGCTTGGCGACACGCACTGTCAGCGATGTCTAATGCGCAGTGAAAGTGTCCGACGGCCTAGGGCTTACGGGTGGTAAGGAATATCGGAGGGAGCTGTGGTGGGATGATGCATGGAGAGCAGAGCATGGACGGGCGAGGGCGTGATGATGCAGCGAGCGGGACCCCTCGGGCAAAAAGGAGCTAGCGCGGGTGCCTCATCGGCAGCGGATCGCACTTCTGTCACCATCGAAACCTGCCAGCACCTTGTACCCCTCTCTGTTTCTCTGCCCCAAACCTTGCGCTGATGGCCGCCGAGGGCGCCGGACCGCAAGCAGCTCGTCGACTGCCGCTATCAGGCGAATCCGAAGGTGCCGGCCTGGACGGCGAGGGCGCTGGCTGCCATGGCAGGGTTGGTGCAGGGCCGCCGGCGAAGTGGGGTCACGTGACGAGCGACTACGGCTGGCGCTTCGTTGCAGCGAGCAGACCCCAAATCGCGTTGCCCGCTAGAGCGTGAGGAGTAAAATCGAGTCCGTCCTGGCACTCGGCCTCTCCCACTGCATTGCCCCGGTACAGCCCTCCAGACACCCGCCCGAGCCCCAGACCATGGTCGTGTCCCCGCCAGACTTTGTCTTGTACTCCTCCATTCATCTGATCCTCGCCCTCTGAAGCTCGTCGACCTTTTGGCCCGCTCTCGACACACCCGCTCCCGCCCTCCCAGCTCCAAACCACGCCCACCCACGCCCACCAGAGAGAGCGCCCGCTGCGCGATCCCGCCCGCCGTGCCATTGAAGTCCTCCCATCTCTCCCTCACTCGTCGCCATCATCCTCCCCACACCATCTGCTCGTCCGTTCCCACCTCCTACCACGCCCGGCCGCACGCCCTCGCAGGCGCACCCAACCCCATCCCGCCCGCGACCTCCCTCGTCGCTCATCTACCTTCCACCTGTCGCACGTAGACACGCACCACTACCCGACACGCAATGTCGCCGCGACGCTCATCGCGGGCCCGTACCACCCAGCCCCCGCCCAGTGGCGCATCACACAGCAACTCGTCGTCTTCCGTCTCATCAGCGCGTACCGAGCGTGCGTCACGAACAAACACCAAACAGACGTCACCACCAAAGTCGTCGACTCCACACTCGCTCTCCTCGGAAGAGCCCGAGGAGCCCTCTCACGATGCACTGCCCGAGCCGCCCTTGACACGCCGCCGAACACGCGAACACGACAATGACGAGGACGAGCCCACCAAGCTCGACGACGAGCTCGAAGACGACATAGCAGAAGAAGATGAAGTCACCCGATGCGTCTGTGGCTATCAAGATTATCCGGGTCTGCCATCCGATTCACTCAAGGCTGGCATGTCTCTAGCTGATTTAGAGGCGCAAGCTGACGAGCTCGGCGGTCTTTTCATCCAATGCGATGTCTGCAAGGTATGGCAACACGGCGGATGCGTGGGCATCATGGACGAAGCTGCCAGCCCAGACGAATACTTTTGCGAAGAGTGCAGAAAGGACCTCCACAAGGTTTCGACAAGTCCAAAAGGGTACGTATTTTGTCTGATCTGTTAGCTGTCGCATGTTTGAGACCCGGCGTCGAGACTCGTGTTACTAGCCGATTTTTCGCGACAAAGCAAACATGGCTAACGAAATCGTCGCAACAGTCAAAAATACTCCCGCTACCTCCCCGTCTACGACCAGCAACATGGCAAGCATCGCAAGTCGTCAGTCTCCAAAGAATCCGAGGGCAACTCGGCCAAGGACAAGGATCGCAACAACAGAGCGAGCGTGGATTCCTTTGGGAAGCGTAGGTCGACTATGAACAGTCGAGCCGCGTATGACGAAGATGAGGTGCTACGAAAGGTACTCGAAGAAAGCAGACACGAGGGTGGCACAACTTCGGAGACTGGAAACCGGAAGAAGCGAAGTCGCGGCGATAGCGAAGAGTGCGTTTCAATTGCTGCTTCACAAACCACCGGCATTTCAGCTGACAAGCTTTGCTACAGAACAAAGCCAGAAATCAAACGACAGCGCACAGGTTCGCGCTCTCCAAGCAATTCGCCAGTCCTGGAGTCCGAAGACGACAGCACAAAAGCTTCAGCGCCAAAACAGAAGCCACGCGGAGCTGCAGCAAAGAGCCAGCGGGAAAAGGAACAGCGTGACAAGGAGCGCGAAAACCAACGCAACGAAGCCGCAAATAGGCGCAAAGGGCGCGCCGAGCGAAGAAAGGGCGATGGTACGTTGCAACCCGTGGCGAGATGATTCATTGGCTAACAGGTGTATAGAACCCGAAGATTCAGAGCCCACACCCACACCCGCCGCTGAAGAACCTGCGATGCTTCCACAAGCGACCGAAGCTACGCCGCCCGAGCCGCCTGCTGCTGAACCTAAACCTGTGCCTGCCCCACGAAGAGGCGGTCGCCCTCCCCAAAAGGCCCGTGGCCGGCTTGGGCGGAACCAATATTCGAGAGACACCGTCCCTGCTACTAACGGTACTTCGCCCAAAAACGATGTGGCTCAATCACCACAGGCAACCACCACGAACGGTGCGAGCAATGGCCACGATAGCAGCGACGGTGCGGCGGGCAACAAACCCACCAAGACGAAGAATTGGCGCCTGCAAAAGCTCTCTTGGAATGACATACGAAGGCCAGCAGGAGCTATGCAGAGCTACATTGCGCAGCGACAGGTCGAGATGGCCACAGCCGAAAAACATGTTAGCCTTGCGCCTGCTGTACAACTCACAACTGCCGCAACCAACGGCGATGGCAAAGACGATGACGCAGATCTGGCCAAGTTCAAGGACCTCAGCACAACTCAGATGATGGACTTTTTGAGCCGAGACCTCGTACACTGGCAACAGATGATATCCGAACCCATGGACAAGTCACCGAGACCATGACTCCCACCTCCTTCCTTTTTCCTTATACTATAACTACTGGGGCGTATATTGGTGAAAACAAAGCCACCATTGCATTTGGGCATATTGGCAGGCGTTTTCTTTTTTCGTTTTTTCGTGGTGTGGTCTGCATATCTTTTTTTCTCGCTCGCGACACGGATACCCTCCACTTTGTGACCTGTTCTCTTTTTTTTACTCGCGCGACGCGACGCGCTGGAGGAACTGGCTGTCTTTTTTCTACTGTTCAATTGTAACCTACGACTCTCATTGCTATGGGACCTCTTTTTTTTCTCATTTTTCTGTTGATGTAAACCTGTATGTAGGGTCGTGTGTTCCTCATCGAACTTCAATTCAAAGACGTTTTGGATGTTGGGAGGGTTTAAAAAACACCATGTTGAAAATGCCGGTAAGGGGAAAGGGGGGAACTTGGTTAGGTTGGGTTCGGTTTGGATTGGTTAGGTGATGAATATATATATATATATATATATAAAACTGGCTAACTATTGGATTGCTGTATCGTTTAACCTCATTACATTTCTTGTTCTGTTCACTCGTCTTTCCCCAACTTCACCTCCAAAACCCCCATCCCAGGGTTTCCCTTGAGCAACTCCACCACGGCACTAATATTATCTTCCGTCAAAACAGTATATTCAGGCCATAATTTCTCCCGCCCCTTGACATCCCAGTGGATTTTGAATTCTTGGATTTGCTCTGCCGGGCCATCTTTGGCTTTGTGCTTTGCCATGACTTTTTGTTTGTGTTAGCGAGCGGGCGGAAGTGAGGAAGTAAGGAAGGTGGTTGGGGTGGGGGGAGGTTGAATGGAAAAAGGGGAATTAGGAGAGGAGAGGAGGCGTACATTCCGCACAGTTCGGACTACTAGCGATAGTACTTGTGATTTGCTTGTTCAGCGCTTTCAGCGAGACTTTGGCGCTCGTGTCTAGGAGGAGGAAGTCGTGGCGGTTGGAGGGGGGCAAGGTGAAGAGGAGGGGGAGGTATGATGATGATGACATCTTTTTGCTTCTCTCCTCTTTTTTTTCCTTTTCCTTTCTTTAAAATATCCCTTTTGTTCAGCGTGCTTCGTCTCTTTTATATCCAGATATTCAAATTCGACGACTGACGTTAGTATTGTTAGGCGCAAGTGATGATGAAGAGAGTAAAAGCGAGAAATTGGGAGGGGGCTATGATGTAAATAAGAACTTGGCTGTGTTTTCTTTTTTACGTCAATGTACTTAGAAGTTCCCGTCCCCCCCTCCCCCCCTCCATATCCCCCCTTTAATTCCCTGGTTCTCCCTCCCTGTTCTGCGACTCCAGCGTACGTATTCTTGGTTGCTGTTGCAGCGAGTGTGAGACGGAGATACGTCATAGGACGCTAGCTTGTTTAGGTGGTGATCGGCGCGGATTAGACAGGGATGCTGGGGTTGCCCCGCTTTGCTTACATGTGTGCATCTTGGGCTATTTGGGTAAGGAAGAACGCTGGAGAGCGTGTGCCTGAGGCGTGAGTTGATTGAACGTAAATCGGATAGTTAACGTGTTCCACCAGTAAGCGGCCCACCCCAGTAAGTGGTCCACCCCACCAAACCTGACACGACTCTCCACACAATCACCACAATGCCGCGACAACAACGCTCTATACAGACTTCTCGTGAAGCTAGAGTACTTCTAGCATCTCGTGCGCTTCAAGA